CTGGCTCTTCTTCCCTCACACGCTGCATCCCCCATCCCCCATCCCCCATCCCCCATCCCCATAAGCCCCGCTACTTGGGCGGGTCTGCTGCCGGCAGAGATTCCCCAATGCGCATACCATTCATTTACTGTGCTTACCTAGGTATTTTCCGTCGGTAACGACATCTCAGACCTTTTGCCCGCAGACAGCTACTTCGGGGCTTCCCTCCTTTGCCCTTTTTATCGGCCCAGTAAGCTATCAGGTTTTATGCTATAATTACCCCCAATAGCGTCCAGGGCCCCTGGAAAGCTAGTCGGGAAACCAACTGCGCTCCCCTGGCGTATCTTGCCTTTTACCCCCAACGCCGTTCTCCGCTTTTGCATCTGCCGATCGCCAGAATCGTTTATATATCTCTTATTTCCGGTTCCTTTCAACCTAGGTTGTTGTTTGCCTCTACAACACCTGGAACATCCGTTTGACTTGTGTTGACTCCTTCCAAATCGCCCCTGGGTTATTGATATACATACCCTGGGCATTTCTTCCCCACCCTTGTCGTTTGTTTACTGCTCCTTTTATTTTTTCCCACCAACGAGCCAGCCTCTGGCGATTGTCGGGGACTAATTGAGACCGCGGCGATTTCTTCTGCAGCTCTTAACCACCAGACGCACTTTTTTTTTTTTTTTTTTTTTCTTTCCACATTCGTTCGGCGTCTCTAGTAGATATAACACCTCTAATCCGCAAAGGACGTTTGAACACCAATCGCCACAGACAGTGGGAGTCGTCAGGAACAAGGTCCACCGGTGACGGCAAAAGAAACGATACGAAAAAAAAGCAAAGACGTGTTGCTTTTTGAAAAAAAAAAAAAAATTAAATAATAATAATAATAATAATAAAAAATCAAGATAAAAAAACCAAAAAAGAAATAAAGAAGAAGCAAAAAGAATAAAATAATAGAAAAAGAAACCAAGTTACACTATCTTTGTTTCAACTGACGTCTCAGGGTGTGTTGGCTGTCATTATCGTTGTTATTTTTCTCCGCTGGTCTTACGATCTGGAGATTCAGCATCCCGCGACTTCGTTGACTGGGGTCCGCAATCAGCCTCGGACCACACGTTCTCCTCTTTCACTGTGCTCGAGATGGAGACAGCGGTTCCGGTTACGTATAATGTCCCGAACCATGATATGAATGCCGTTGCCCCCCGCCGCATGATGACCCCCAGTCACCATGACCAGAATATCGCGTACTTCTCAAACCCATCCATACCATATTCAACGGCTCTGCAGCCCCCGCCCTTCAGCGGCTTCGGTCATATATTGAATAACCATCACCATCCCTCGTATCAGTCTTACTTCAGCTCAAATCCAAATCACCATGTTAATTCGCATCATCCGCGATTGCCAATCGAGGCCCTCCCAGTGCAGCCACAGCTCTCTGATGTCCGCCATGTCAAGAGCTTCATCCCTCGTTCAATCAGACCTTCACCCCCGAAGGAAGACCATATGCCTCACCCGCCACCTCAGCGCATAAACGTAGCACCGGCACGGGCACGAAATGTCACTACCCAACATGATGATCCCAAGGGCGCCGCCAAACCTGAAGTCGATTTCGGTACAGAGGTGGACACATTGATGAAGACCATACAGGCCAAACCGCAATCATCTTCGCCCCAAGTGGAACATCAGCTTCCTCCTTTACAACAGAAGTTTAACAACGGTGTCCCCAGTTGGATTCAGCCCGCCTATGCCAACCAAATGCCCGGCAATCAGGGAATTTTCCCTCCTCCTCCTCCGCTTCCTCAAGATCGCATTGTGTCTGCGAACCAAAAACCAAGACGGAAATACGAATGTACCCTTCCCCAGTGCAGGAAGAGCTTTTTCCAGAAAACGCATTTGGACATCCATATGCGGGCACACACTGGAGATAAACCATTTGTAAGTCCCGAATTCATCCTTTTGATGGTGTTGGGAAAGGAAGAAAAGCTTATTCAATATATGCGCAGACATGTAAAGAGCCTTCATGTGGTCAACGGTTCTCTCAACTAGGCAACCTTAAGGTGAGTTGAGATGTAGAGAATTACGAGCGCCGTGCCGGACGGAGCACTTCATATTTACAATTGCTCTCTACAGACTCATGAGCGACGACATACAGGCGAGAAGCCATACTCGTGCGAGATTTGTCACAAGAAATTTGCCCAGCGAGGCAACGTTCGTGCCCACAAAATCACACATGAACAGGCAAAGCCTTTTACATGCCGTCTAGATGACTGCGGGAAGCAATTTACACAGCTCGGTAATCTAAAGGTGAGTCAAAATGAATCAAAACACCCCAGTCATATAATGACTTCGCAACGTACCATCAATTCGTTCGCCCCTTCTCAGAGCGCTAACAAATCGTGAATGTGACCCAGTCTCACCAAAACAAATTCCACACCCAAACCCTCCGAAACCTGACCCTTCGATTCGAATCCATCGGCAACAGCGATCGTATGAGCCCGCAAGACAAGGAGCTGTGGGATTACTTCTCCACTCTATATCGGAATAGCAACAAGGGCATCAAGGGCCGGGGCAAGGACCGTCGCGTATCAACAGCGAAGCGCTCGACGAGTACATACGAAGGAAGTGTATCGGATAGCGACGAAGATCTCAAGATCCGCAGTCGAAGGTACGATCGCGTATCGGCGGTGATGACCTTGGGCGGCGAGGACCTTGGGCGGTGAGGAGCCAGATTACAAGCTTTATCACCAGAGAAACGATCACCATTAAGATGGACGGATTACGCCATCAGTCCGTGTCTGGGAATTGGATCAGTGGAATTCCGGTGGCACTGCCCGGCACTCGCAATGTGTTACGAGTGGCAGATATCAAATACTGACATCCACGAGCGATATGTGCCCGAGAATTTTGCACTGGATGATCAGGATGTGTATGGGATGTGGGATTTCGTCCGCTAGTGAACGAAAATACCCACACAGAGAGCCTCAAGCTCAATACAGACCGGTGTTAAAAAAATCTTCAAAACTCTGCCCCTGCGTGTCATCATCCCTTTTCACCTCTTCCCCTCTTTAGGACTCTTTTTCTCTTTTGTTAGTTGCCTCTCTCGCGTGTGCGTTCGGATATCAAATGCTTTTTTTGCGTTCTCCTTAACCAGAGATAGTTCGTTTCCCACCTACGCCTTTTTTACTTTTATCTCTCTCGCTCTCTCTCTCTTTTTTTTATTTTTTTGTTGATTTCCAACTATTCCTCCATACATGCCAATTTATGCAAGGACAAAATGAAGAAAAAGAAAAAAAAAAAAGTCATTTTGGATAGCGACTGGACAGGGGATTTTGAGGCCCTGTTGCAGTGCGATTGCGGGATATTTGGATACAGGACATATACTTTGCTTCGGGTTTTTTTTTTTTTGAAAAGGCCGGGCGCAACGGATAAAACAAAAGGCGAAGGAAAAGGCAAGAAGGAAGATTATATATACCTAGTGGGCAGCGGTTGTTGTATGGATATTGGTATGGATATAGTAATATAGCAAGGTGTTGTTGGGTGACCGGGAAATATTTTGTTCGGGTTTAACTTTCTGTGATTAGGATGCGATAGTCCCCATTTTAACTATAAATTTAGGATTGTTGTTGGCCAGTTCTTTGGCCATTATACGGCCTTTTTTCCATTGCCTCGCTTCCAATTTTTCGTTTCTTGGTTCCTGGGAGTATGGTCGTTGCGAAAGGATGTAAAGGAGGAAGACATGACATTTGGACAATGGAAGAATTCCTCCTCATCGCACCAGACCATCGCGCCACCAACGAAGGCATCATGACATGAATGGCTGAAGCTCCTTGGCTACTCTAACAGCTCAGTGTAAATAAACCCAGGTGGAAAACCCTTGAATATCCTCACAGACTTTCCCCCCCATTCTGAGGTATATCTGTCCTGGAACAGTTTGTACAATGATGTCTATACATAGGTACTTCGACGAAGGAAGCCTGCTACCCTCTTCCCAGAGGAAAGGTAACGTACATGTTTTACGTTCCTGGTTCGAAAGCAGCAATAACCGACACCATTATCGTATGGAGGAATCTCATAGTCTTCTCTTGAAAATATTTTACTGTACAATTCTCTTTGGAGCCCTCCCCCCTCCTCTATATAAAACTACAGGAAAAAGACGAAATGAAGAAAAAAAATAGAAAAGGGGCATACCTTGTTGTTCACTTCCACGGGGTTGGATGTTGAACATAAGAATCACAGTAAAAAGAAAAAAAGAAAAAAAAAAGGGGGGGGGGGAGGAATAGAAGAAAATTTTCACGTTGATAACATTCAAGTCAGGAAACCTCAAACTGATATCACCATTCAATCCAGACCGACCGACGGACCTGTTTACGCGTGTATGGCACCAGAACAGGAAATAAGGAGGAGGCTAAGGAAGAATGTCGGGAGGGAAAGTAAAAATTGACATTAGAAAGGGGAATGGACCAGATGAAAGTACAGACACATGCACAGATGGAGTACACACGGAAGAGATAATGAACACGGAAGTTTGCAAATAAGAAGAAGAAAAAAAATAAGGGAGAGGAGGAGAAAGAGAGAGAGAGAGAGAGAGAGAGAGAGAGAGAGAGAGAGAGAGAGAGAGAAACAAGGCATGTCTATTCAGTCGGATGGATATGTTCTTTTCCCGAAAGCGGGACAACAGGCAGCGATTGGGGGGATCTGGGATCTGGCGGTTCGTCTGGGAACGGAAGTACACACACGAAAATTAATATAAAAAAATCTTGTGTTCGATTTTGATTTTAATAACGGAAGGTTAGAGGGGTCTGCATGGCCCGCACCTCCTTTTCCATTTTGAAGATCGCGGAAGCTGGATGAAGAGTGAAGAGATGAGCTATTAAAACATGGGGTTGGAAAAGGAGGTTAGATTAATATTGGAAGATAGGGGTTCGGGATTCGGGTTATGAGAAGATGGTGATAGATGTTGATGGGAGCTGTGATGGGGCTTCTGTTTTAATGGGGTTTTTGTCATTTGCTTTTCATTTTTTGGGTTAGAATGGTGGGGAGGGGACGTTGGGCATTTCGCCGGATTCTTGCTGTTCCATTAATTCCTCCGATGCCATTTCGAAGGAGACAGCGAGGCCGATCTTGGCTTGTTGCTAGATTGGGGGAGTTTGGTTAGCGGAAACTTTCATTTTCACTTCCACGTTTACTTTTTTCTGATACTGATAATTGATGGACGTTGACGTACCTTAACCTGGTCAATCTCTCCCGCAAAAGTCAAAGAGATGGGCATGGCAACGCGCTTCTCCAAAAGACAGCTCAACTTGCCAGCACTGTCAATCTGGGCGCGGAAGGTTGAGGCTCTGAATTCATATTTGGCTCCGACGGTGGCGAGTCCCTCCTTGCGGATGTTGCCCATCATCCCGCTAGGGCTGGGGGAGAACTGCAGGTTCATATCGACACCGGCTTCGACCTTATCAGACAATTTTTTCCAGTAGGAGGCATTGATGGCGCCTTGAGCTTGCAGCTGGGCGCTGGCAATCCAGCCATTTCCCTTATACTTTGCGCAATATGATAGGGCGGTTTCGGGAGGCACGCTGAGACCCTGTCGCTGCCACATGGCTTCAAGACCAAGAGCGAGGCTTGGGGTAACGGATTGGAGATAGCTTCCCACGAATATTCCTGTCATACTCCCTTCTAGGAATGATGGGTTGAATGCCTTGAGGGAGATGGAGAAATCCGCACCGGTGTAGTCGTTATCAATCTGCACCAGGCCTTGCGCGCTACCGGGCATTATCTGAGTGTTTGTCTTTGTAACCAATGCGGAATTCCACCTGTAATTGGCCACAGCGGCTAGAGCCCCATCGCTACCGAGGTTTCCTTGTAAGAAGACCTGTTTTCCATTGTTAGATTTAGATGCGAGGCTAAGCATGGAAATTGTTTTGGTGCAGAGAATATAACAACATACCTTTGGGGAACCGAACATTGAAGAGAATGCGTAAGGGGGAAGAGTCCCTTGCTGCGAACCCATTGTGAAGGCATGAGAAATGCGGAAGAGAGGAGACATGCCGAAGACCTTGGTCAGATCGGCGCGGAAGCCGGTGAACATGAAGTTGGATAGCAGGACGTCCTTCTGGACTTCTCTGGCAACATTCTCGACGGTGCCTGGATTGGAGAGGCCCAAGGCTTCTCTTCGGGCGGAAAACGAGCCATATACACCTTTAAGGGCGGCTGTCACGGCATTGTCTGTGAGGAAGGAGAGAGAAGATAAGACGTCGGACATGTTGGGTGGAGAACAGAGGGAAGATGCAGGGTTGAGGATCGGGGAAGAGGGTGCCGCCCTTGGAGTGGACGGGGAGGGGGTGGTGAAGCAGGAGACGCGGACCCAAGCTGGTGGAACGGGATTGATGGATGGAGGGGTAGCCTAGGGTATTGGGTGGGATAGGGGTTGGATTAAGCGTAGGTATATATAAATATCTATATGTGAAATATCCGGAATGTTTTTCAGAATACGATTGATGTTTTTGACGAAGATTCGGAAAGTTTGAACATTTTGCGGTGCACGGGGCACAATGCCAAGAAATAACACATGACGCACGGCGCCATGTTGCTTTGGGGATAGTCCAGCCTTGGCATGTCATGTCAACCCCAAGAACAAAACTTGACATTTGCCTGGTTCTATACAAACAACTGGGAGAAGAAGAGGAAGAGGAAGAAGAGGGAAGATTGGTGATGATGATGATGATGATTTAAGAAGTATGTCTACTATCGTTCTGTTGCGCATGCATTGATGTCATTTCCGGAAGCATCTGAATGTGTGTTCAGAGCTTAGAACTGTTTCTCGTGTGGCCTTGTTGTGGCGTGAAGCTTAACTCTCTCCTCTCCTCTTATCTAGATAACTAGTCTCTGAAGAAGGATTTCTGATATAATCATCATCATCATCATCAAAAAATCATTCCATTTGTATTGTCCTCTTACGACTGGGACACATCCTGTCCTGTTGCAAATTACATAGCCCAATTCCAGCTGAATTTCCCACTTCTCTGATTATATCGTTGTGAGAGCTCTCTTCGAAAATGGACACTCTTCTGTAAGAGCCCCACCATCCCAGGCCGCAACCCCTTGCTATATTGCAACTACAGCATCTCTAACAGCTAAAACCAGAACGGCAAAAGTCGTCGCAAGCTCCCCTCGTTTCCGCAGAAAGTCCAGCACCTTCGTGGACGCCATCCATGACTTGCCAGAGAGAGTCGAGCTTGCTCCCGCGCAGCTCTACAGCACGGAGTCTGGACGTCTCTTCCATTCAGGACGCATTGTAATTATTACAGTGGGCTTACCAGCTCGCGGGAAAACGTTCGTTGTTTGCAAGATACAATTGCTTTGCCGTTCCTTTTGCTAGCTCTGAGCACGGAGTGCTGACTGATTCCCTCTTTTTGGTATTGTTTTGCAGACACATATCTCGTTGCTCTTGCCCGGTATCTGAGATGGTTCGCATTGTCCTATCTATAGACCGACACACCCTCGTCCCCTCCCCTCCCCCCCCCCCCCCAAAACACACACCTGGAGTTTCACGGGTTGGGCTAACAGCCATGTACAGGCTGGGTGTGACAACGAGGATTTTCCACCTTGGAGACTATCGACGTGCCACCGTGGGGCCTGGTCAAGATGTCCCCGATGACTACTTTTTTGTCAATGGTGAGAAGAACCTGAGGATGAACTGTTGCTTTTGCTATCGTGTCTGCTGTTGAGGTTTGCTCTGGATCGTTGTCTACTGAAAGGGGATTTTTCTAACCCTCGTTTCTCGCTTATAGCGTCCGCCTCGTCTGTCCTGCTCAGGCAAAAGATTGTCAAAAAGTGCAGAGAGGACATCTACCATTTTCTCAAGCACGAAAACGGCCAAATTGCCATATATGATGCCGTGAACCCTATCGCAGCTGGTCGTCGCTCTCTAGCTAAAGAATTCGCTAAGCATGACATAGACGTGAGGATCTCCCCACCCTCTAAAAATCCGATTTCAAAATTTCTGAAGAAACGACGTACTAACTCTCATTCACGCAGACACTATTCATTGAATCGTTGTGCGACGATGAGCGAATAATCGAGGAAAACGTTCTGAGTGTCAAAATCTCGTCTCCGGACGTACGTTGATACCATGTTCCTGTTTAAACACTTCATTTGTTGAAGAGGGGGTGCTGATTATGTTAGTATGTTGGTTGGGACCCAAAAGACGCTGTGAAGGACTACCTGGCAAGAATCTCAGCGCGCATACCTCAATTTGAGACAATGAATGAACAGGAGCTGAATTATATTAAGGTTGGTGGTACGAAGCATAAGATATAAGATCGCACTTGACTGACACACGAGACATAGATGGTCAACGCTGGTGAGAGAATAATGATCAACAACCGTTCCTTCGGCTACCTGCATCATCGCATAGTCTTCTATCTTCTCAATTTACACAACAAGTCGCGCCATACATATTTTGTTCGGGTAAGTTATATCATGACATTTGCCCTTCTCGTTTACCTTGTGGCTAGCTGATACCGTCTAGGCTGGAACATCCACAGACCCCACATCCTACAAAGCCGACGCTTCCCTTTCCGAACAAGGTGTCGACTATGCACGGAAGATGACAGAACGATTGCTCCAGCATCGCGAATTGGAAAGGCAGATCTTGATTGAGCAAGGAGATGCGGACACGGAATTAAAGCCCCTTACGGTGTGGACATCAACCCGCTGCCGGACCGTGGAGACGGCACAGTTTCTGCAGGAGATGGGGTATAAAGTGCGCCATCGGTCACAGATGAGCCAGTTGAACCCGGGCGTTTGCGAGAAGTTGTCTGAGCGGAAGATCCGGGAGCTGTATCCTGACGAGGTGATTAAGCATGAGAATGATCCGTATCATCACCGGTATCCACGGGCTGAGGTGGGTTGGACGAAAATTTTATGAGTGATTATATTTGTTTTCGGTTTGGCTAATTTCTCTAACAGTCCTATCACGACCTTGCTGTGCGTCTTGAGCCGATTATCCTGGAACTTGAAAGGGAGAGGAATGACCTGCTTATCATTGCGCATGAGAGTGTATTGCGTGTGCTCTATGGGTATTTGATGGCTTGCAACGCTGCGGATATCCCGTTCCTGTCATTCCCCCGCGATGAGATTATTGAGGTCAGCAATTCCCCCTCCCATTGCTATCCCATTCCTTTATATTCATCCACTTCTAATTTTAATGTCACTTCAGCTGCTAACAATGCCAAAGATTATTCCCGCAAGCTACAACAACTCAGCCAAAAGAATCCACATCCCCGATTTGCCAGAGGAGATCATCCCTGCGTCGCCGGAAGATATCAAGATTCCCGCCCCGCCCAGTGGGGTTGTCTCGCCTATGCCCGGTGGATTGGATGGTACTATCAGCGCAGGACCGCCGAGAGGAGGCACGCCGCAAAATGGACTGAAGACGCCACAGGATGGTGAGAAGATTTTGCAACATCATGTTGAGGATGTTGTTTAGTTGTTCAAGATGTTCAGATGTTGTGATGGTCGTTGTTCTGCTTTATTTTCTTTCTCGTCTTGTCTTTTTTAAAGCACTGTGCATTTTCTCTGGTAGAGTTCATGCGATATGGAGTAACGAAGTCACTGTTTTCTTCTCTTTCCTTTCCTTTCCTTTCCCCCTTTTTTTCCCCTTTTTCTTTTTGTCTTTGTCGATCTTCTGCGGCATGTTTCGAGCGGGTTTTCTCTTGCTGTATTTTATTGGTTTTGCTTTGTTCGCTTTGTCTACCCATTCAAGAATATATACGAGAGCGAAAACAAGATCGAGAATAGACGAGTAATTATCCGTCCAGCGATATATTTCTTTTTTTTTTCTTTTTTTCTTTTTGGTTCTGCTTTTCTTTTTGCACTTTTAAGGCCCTTAGCTCTATCCCCCATGCAACGTAGACACGAATAATATGTTATCCCCTTGCTGAATCCGATACTTCTCTTCCCCTTCCAATTCCCAGTCCGCATCATTTATCAGCACGAGAATGCCGGGCCGTCTATCCAAACACGTAGTATAAGCAAACTGGACCACCAAACGAACACCCAAACACCCAACACGACTGCTACACACCCAGCTATTGACAGAACGAAAAGAAAAGGAAGGAGAAGGAATAACTTACATAGCCCCATCAAGCACAAACAGCTCCCTTCGCTGATCTTGCATGACGTTCTCTACCAGGTGGTGGACGAGAGAGGATATGGTTGTCGGTTCACCGGTTACCGCTGTTGTGGCAGGGACGGAGAGGGTGTGTTTTCGCTTGTTGGAGAAGAGGGATTCGAGGCCACCGCTGTTAGAGGGGGGAAGTGGTGGTTAGTTGGGTGTATTGCATAGGAATAGTGGTGTTTAAGAGGGGAAGAGAGGAGTGTACGTGAATTCTACGGTGATGTTGAGAGGCTGTGGGGGGTTGCTTATGGAGCCCATGGTTGTTTGGATGGTGTGGGTTGTGTCGTTGTCGGAATAGATGGGTGTTAGACGGCAACAGTAACTGTCAAATAGGGGGTGAACTGGTCAATATAATCACGGATGTTGATGTTGATGTTGATGTTGATGTTGATGGTGATGGTGATAATTATCTTTGAGAAATATCCGCAGGGAAAGAAAAAGACGCACGAATATATTTTCTTATCGATAAGCTGTCTGTGATGGGATGAAATTTGCGAACCTCCACATCCAACATCCAACATCCAACATGACTATAACAACTATTGCGCCCACAACTCTCCTACCCCGAAAGCCCCCAATACTGATAGTGTACGTGGGTATATAGAATATATCCTGTCCGCGCGAGGATAATATTCTCGCCGCAAACCCCCATGGCGTCGCCAAAGATCAGCGCCGTCACTGAATACCTCTCCGTTGGCGGAAACAGACATCCTGCCGCCGCGGACTGGGACTCGCAGACCGGTATCCTCGCATTCGGCGCTGATAACAATGTCGCCCTATGGGATCCTGCTGTATGCCCTCCCCATTCATACTTTTGCTAGTTAAACTGAGTCAATCGCAAATACCAGGCTAATCCGACAGACTATCACCGCAGGACAAGTATCATAATGGGGTTTATGCCATATTAACGGGGCACACAGATAAAGTGAATGCGGTCAAATTTTATACACCCCCTTCCTCCGCGTCCTCAGGCTCCCACCATTTCTTACTCACCGGCTCTGTTGATCGGACGATACGGGTCTGGCGCTATCATAAGCAGCAGGCCAATCACTCCAATTCCAATTCCAATTCCACATCTACATCTACATCTACATCAACTACTAGACCGTTATTCCAACATGTTGAAACCTTACAAGGCCACGAAAGCTCCATAAACTGCATTGCCGTTGCGCGCGGTTCAGAACTATTCGTCTCCGGTGCCGCGGATGGGACTGTGAGGATGTGGAGGCTAGATACCGGCAAGGGCCTAAGTTGCAATGGGCATGAGAATGATTTTCTGACTGTACAAGGACAATTGGTGCAGACGATTACCCTGAAACCAAAGTTTTTCCCGTTGGCACTCGCCTTGAGGACGCTTTGTGTTGAGAAGAAGGAACCTAAAGAGAATGGGAAAGGGAATGCTACGTGTGCTCCACCAATGGTTCTGGCTGTCGGCGGGACGAGGAATACGATACAGATCTTTGTGATGCAGGGGTATGAAGGGGGGGAATTTGAGCTTAAAGCTAGTCTTGCGGGTCATGAGGCGTGGGTGACATCCCTTGCCTTTACGGATATGAATGGTGAACAGAGCCAGACGTCATCGCAATCACAATTGCAATCGCAATCGCAGGATATATTCCTCGCGTCTGCCAGTCAGGATAAATATATTCGTCTCTGGCGGGTTCATGCGGGCGATGACCGCGTCCCAGTCCGAAGGAACGCCAATGGGGAGGCGGAGGTGATACTCGAAGCTAACGTCGAGCAGACACTCTCCAATAAGGTTCATGAATTCGAAGCAAGTGGGTCGAAGTATTCCGTTACTTTTGAAGCCCTCCTTTTCGGCCATGAGGACTGGATCTATACCGTCGCCTGGAGCCCGGATCTCGCACATTCCAAGCTTCTCTCTGTCTCTGCGGATAACTCGTTGGTTATCTGGGAGCCGGACCCGGTCTCGGGCGTCTGGTACTCTGTCTCGCGAATGGGGGAGATTAGCGTGCAGAAGGGGTCTACAACGGCCACGGGGAGTACTGGTGGGTTCTGGATTGGTCTTTGGTCACCTTGTGGTGATACGGTGGTTAGTTTGAGCCGTACGGGTTCCTGGAGGATGTGGAGATTTGAGGAAACGTCGGATCTTTGGGTGCAGGATGTTGCTGTCACGGGCCATGTGAGGTCGGTTAATGGGATTGCGTGGGAACCGACGACTGGGGGTTATCTCCTGTCGACAGGTTCGGACCAAACAACGAGATTGCATGCTAGGTGGAGACATGGTAGTAACAGCGATGCCCAGCAGCAGGTTTCATGGCATGAGTTTGCTAGACCGCAGATACATGGATATGATCTAAACTGCATAGCGTCCCTGGGCCCCTGGCGCTTCGTCTCAGGTGCCGATGAGAAGCTTCTCCGCGTTTTTAATGAGACAAAGGCAATCGCCAACCTCCTCGAGAATCTCACAGGGTTCGCTGGTGGGCCTAAACCGGCTGACATGCCGGAGGCAGCTAACATCCCCGTCCTCGGCCTGTCTAACAAAGCTGCTAAAGACGACGACGACGACTACGACGACGACGAACAACAAGATGAAGACCGGGACGAACAATCCACCTCACCACCCCAATCCCAACTGCACCTGCAATCGTCCTCCGCCCTGAACCTCCCCCACCCCCCTCTTGAAGACCACCTATCAAAATATACCCTCTGGCCCGAACACGAAAAACTCTACGGTCACGGCTACGAAATCTCAGCCCTAGCCACTAGCCACGACGGCACGCTCATCGCCACAGCCTGCAAAGCCAGCTCGCTCGACCACGCAGTCATCCGCCTGTATGACGCTGCCTCGTCATCCTGGCGGGAGATTCGTCCCCCCCTCACGGCACATTCGTTGACGATTACATGTTTACGGTTTTCGGCGGATGATATGTTTTTGGTTAGCGTGGGGAGGGATAGGCAATGGGCGGTTTCAAGGAGGGTGGAGGAGGGAGGGGAAGGGGAAGGGCAAAGTGAACCGGTTTTTAAGTTGTTATGTGCGAATCCGAAGGGCCATTCAAGGATGATTTTGAGTGCCAGCTGGGCACCGATGGTGGAAGGTGCTGGTGCGGGTAAGAGAATTTTTGCGACGGCGGGACGGGACAAGACTGTGAAGCTGTGGGTGCAGGGGCAGGATCAGGATCAGGAGTCGTTTACGTGTAAAGCTACGATGACCCTTTCAAGTCCTGTTACGGCCGTTGATTTTCTCCCTGTGGTTGTTGGGCAGGGCTGGTTTTTTCTTGCTGTGGGTTTGGATACGGGGCGGCTTAGTATACATGCTTTTGCGGTTGATGGGCTTGGGAAGATTGGAGAGGGGTGGGCATTGCCTGCGTCCGAATGTCCATCTAAATCTGTTACGCAGTTGGCGTGGAGGCCTGTGGGCAGTGGAGATGGGGTAATGGATGACAAAAGGGGGTATGAGCTTGCGGTTGCGAGTGAGGATAGTTCAGTGCGGGTGCTCAGGATTGACGGTTTGTCACTGTAACGGAAGGTGTGTTGGTTTTTATTCATGAATGAATGAAAATGTGCATGAGAGCAATGCTATATATCTATAGAACTATAGACTTGAATGCTGTGAACCCATTTTTCTATTCCCTCTTTGGCTCTTGAAGTCATCCCTCCTATATGTCCAGAGAAAACGTAAACCGTCTCGATCTATTAGTATGCCGGACTTCAATAAATCATGTTCTGATCATGTGTCATGAAGTAGTGGATGAAGCTACTTCGAATGCCCAAACAAAATAAGGAACAAGAAAACAAGCATGACGACCGGCATCGTACATAACAATGTAAAGGATACATGATAATTATATCCCCTTCTCAACAATCTCTGGAACCTGCTTCCCCTCTCCCGGTAAGCCCGGGCGAGGGCCTCTCTCCTTCAAATCCTTTTTCAACCACTCCAGCACCACCTCACTCAATCGACTATTCTCTGAATCCGACACCTTCTTCCCCATCTCAAACTTCTCAATGGGCCCACAATCCCTCACCCGCCCCATATGCATATGCACCAGATGCGTCGGCCACTTCGCCAAATTATCCAAGATATGAGTAGCATACATGATAGTACACTTCCGCTCCTCCGTCTCCCGCTTCAGAAACGCCAGAAACTCACTCCGGCTCAACAGATCTAGATCCACCGTGATTTCGTCGAGAAGGAGAAGTGTCCAGGGCCTCAACAGGCCCATAGCAAGCTGGACACGGCGGCGCTCTCCATCGGAGACAGCGTGCATGTGCCAGCCTAGGTCTATGTCGAGGATGCGGACGAGCTGGTCGCGGCGGGCTGGGTAGGCGTCACCGCCCACGGAGGCGAGGAGGGTGGGCACGTCGATGTCCGTGCGGACTATGGGATTTAGAACCCATTCAACGCCAAGGTAGGTTACGCCTTCGAGACCGGTGGTGAAGGGGTCGATGTCATCGATTAGGACGGTGCCGTGGGGGGCGAGCCGTTTGCCGGAGAGGAGGCGGAGGAGGGTAGTTTTGCCGGCACCGTTGGCTAGTTTGGTTGTTAGTATGTGGAGGCGTAGGATATCTTTTATGGTTATAGTTATGTATATGTGTATGTGTATGAGTATGGAGGGCGGGGGAGAGCGTGCGGGGTGGAAGCGGGGGAGAGCATGTATGTGGTGCGGAAATGAAGGAATTATTAATTTACCGCCAATCAAGAGGCTTCGACTGCCTTTGGGGAGGTCGAGGGTAACATCTGTTAATCCATCAGTGCCGTCTGGGAATTTGTAGTTGAGACCATGAACCTGGATAGAGGCACTGGAAGCTGATGGCGTCATGGTGCTAAGTAAAATACTCTGTAGAGAAGGGATAATTAGAGGGATAACTAGGGAATTTGCTGTGGGATTCTATTGAAAGGACGGTCTATTTGAATTGTAAATGCATTAGATATATGGGGGAAGGGTTATATTAATAGTGCTGTATGAAACCCGGAGACATGACGGAATGCTGTAGTTATGATGCTTGATGTTTTGGATATTTTTGCACTGAGAGGGGGAACAGGGATCAGGGGGTGTGTCAGGGTTGATCCTGGAGTGCTCTGGCTGGTATTGCCGTGTATTCTAGGGGTTATTGCACATATATATTTTGCATTGTGGAACGGGTACAGATGGCGTACATATGAGTATTTCATGCAGTGTTTTTACTGTGTGGAATGATGTAGATTATTTATATCTGAAGTTCTCCGAAATCAAGGGGGAATCCGAAAGGTTTGGGTTGATCTATGCAACGAATATTACACAGTTACAATACAATACACCCATAAATACAAGCATTTGCATCTTCCAACTTGAATGATCCCCAAAGCAGGTAATCAGGGGTAACCCGATATATATCCACGGATTAATCAACAACCGGAATATTAAACTGGAATCCCAATGCTTAAGCTTCTGCGACTGCCGGGCATGTCTTCCAGGGTTCCTTCAGAGCCTTTAATCGCTGTCATCGGCGCCACAGGAACGGGCAAATCTCAAGTAAGTATTAGCCAAAGACAAAAAAAAAGAAAATAGTCCATATTTCCCTTATGTTGATGTTGGGCGTCATAAAAACCGTAATTGCCATGTTTAACAAGATTCCTTCTTTTGTCTTCTGAGAGTGCCTCAACTAATAATTCATCTGACAGCTCGCCATCGACCTCGCAGCTCACTTCAATGGTGAAATCATCAATGGTGATGCCATGCAGATGTACATGGGTCTGCCCATCATCACCAACCAAATACCCGTTGAACTGCGGCAGGCCATTCCGCATCATCTTCTTGGATGCATAGGGGTTGACCAGGAGCCATGGCGCATTAGCCATTTTAAAAGGGAGTGTTTGCGCATCATTAAGGAGATCAGGTCGAGGGGAAAGCTGCCTGTGCTAGTTGGCGGGACACATTATTACACGCAGGCTGTGCTATTTAAGGAGTCTATTCTGGATCGGGGTGGGGAGGGGAAGAGCGAGAGCGAGAGCGAGAGCGAGGGTGACGGTGACGGTGACGGTGACGGTGACGGTGAGAAAGGGGAGAATGTCATGGCGGAGAATACCGTTGAACCATCGAAGACTACTCTGCGCTCGGAAGATTTCCCTATCCTTTACGAGTCACCAGAAGTGATATTACAAAAACTACGAGAAGTAGATCCAGTAATGGCGAGTCGCTGGCATCCCAGGGACACGCGCAAGATCCGCCGCTCACTAGAGATTTACCTGCAAACCGGCAAGCCGGCATCTGAGATTTACCAGGAACAGCAGAGGCTCAAAGATGCTGCCCGCAAAGCTCACAACAGCTTTGGACCAGATTTACCAGAAGAAGCTTCTACTGCTGTCCCCTCCACAACATCTACTGAAGCTGGCCAACTACGCTTCCCAACACTTCTATTTTGGGTCCATACTAAAGATGAAGAACTCACCCACCGCCTCTCTCAGCGTGTGGATAACATGGCTGATAAAGGCCTCGTGGCAGAAGCACAGTCACTATTTAATTACCTGAATGAGAAGAAGGCACAAGGCGTTGATATTGACCGCACACGCGGCATCTGGGTCTCAATAGGATTTAAGGAGCTGGAGCCATATTTTCGTGCCCTGTCTTCTTCTTCTTCTTCTTCTTCCTCTGTGAACGGCGGTTCGGGGAACGCTGCTGCCGTGACTGCTGTAGGCGCTACTACCCCGGAGCAACTCGAACGCTTAAAACAAACATGCCTCGCATCGATAAAGACAGCTACTCGACAATACTCCCGCCAGCAGATTAAATGGATTAGGGGCCGGTTGTGGAATGCACTGACAGATGCACGTGCCACGCGGCAGTTATACGTTCTCGACTCGACAGATGTCACTTCCAATGCGGATGCGTGGGATACTGCAGTGCGGAAACCCGCTGAGCGCGTTGTGGGGGCGTTTTTAGCGGGTGATTCTGCGGGATGTCCGGTTCCCTGGGAGCTTTCGGAGACTGCTAGGGAGATTTTTGAGAGGGAACTGAAGATTCTCGTTGGGGGAGCAGCGGAAGGGGGTGAAGGGGGAGGGAGGCAGAGGACAGTGTATCGATGTTCGACGTGCGATGTGTGTGGGATTACGGTGCAGTCGGATGAGCAGTGGGAGATGCATGTGAAAGGGAGGAGGCATAAGCGGGCGGTTAGGAGTGCTGAGGTGAGGAAGGAGAGGGATGAGTATTTTGAAATGAGAAGGGAGGGCCGGTAAATGTGGATGAAGGGGCGTGAAGTCTGGGTCTGTGAAGGCGAAAAGTTTGAGTGTAGATAGGAGCGGGAAGATTTGATTTTGGTTCTGAGGTTGGACTGGAATTTTATTTGGTGATGACTGAATATGCAGTAAGGTAGGTGTTGTTGCATGCGCGCGAATGGTTGATTTGACACATATACCCCTTAAAATGTTTCAGATAGTTTGTTGAAAGACACCATACCAGTTGCATACCATAGTAACGAAAATACAACGATGGGGAAAAGTAGGTCTGTGAACACGCAGATAATGTAAAATTTCTATCTTCAAGGTTTCCTGCTTCTTTCCTGCGAGCCGTACCAAAATTCCAAGCAACACCTACGCTGTCTTTCCCTTCATGGACAACATGACAGGAGAAGAGAAAATGAAAATCGTAGATTCTACATGCCCTCCCACCACGTCGGCTGCTTGAATTACATATAACATTTCGGGCATGTCGCGAAGCTGATTGTTCATGCACTCGAAGCCTCTCCCATGTAACGAGTATCGAAATCGCCGCAATTCATACAGAACAGTGCAGATGGAATGAAAAGAAGAGAAGAGAGACACGATGGTGATATCCAACGTGGGAATGGACACAATTAACGAAGTGTTTCTCTTGTTGTTCCCATCCGCATTGAATACCTTGCTAGTTGCGAAGGAATCCAGCTTGAACGAGGCAAGTGATGCTAAACTTGAATCTTATAACCACTGGATAGGCGACTGTGCCGGCTAGCCATGTATTATTTCTAATATGATGGCTTCTTGGCTCGCACTTCGTGATTGTCAATTCATTCCATCCATATCCGTTTTTCCCTTAAGAAGTCCTCCAGAGACCTCCGGAGCAGGGACCTAGAGAGATGCATTCATTGCAGCTGGTCTGACCCAACCACTCAAAACCTCTTGCACTTGTTGAGAGATACTAATGGACAGCGAACCAAGAGAATCTGCAAGGTCATGCGTCCGTCATGTAACTCCATGCATTGTAGCCTTTCTTTTTCTTTTTCTTTTTCTTCCTCCCTATATTTTCAAGTGGTAGACCGCCAGTCAACAAACGACTGAGAGAGGATCCCTCCATGTCCCGAATCCTCCAACTTGAAAACCTCGATAACAGGTGATTTCTCCTGCCTGCGGATCCTCCAAAGCCCTTCATCATTAATCACGAGCTTCAGCCCTGTTCTCAACTAGTTAGTGTACAATTTATTTCAAAAATTATAAAAACCTCCCCGTAATAACAAATAGTGGAGTAGAATTAATCGTACATCCCAGAAGCTTCGCGGTGAAATTGATACATATATTCCCATCCCAAGTGCCTTTGCCCCGTCTGGCCACTAGACCGGGTATATCGTGTGTGGACATCTCTTCTAGCCGAAGGAGAATACCATGCTCTTCGCGGAAACCGACGATGATTTTCGGTACACCGAGGAGGAACGACTGAGCCCAGAATTTAAGCAGCTTGCGCTCGTATTTAAGCATATCTCTGTCGTTACGGATTTCGGCAGAGGTCTTGAGCTCGACCCAGTTTATGGGTTCGTCTTTTTTCTCGGGCTTACAGTCCCATACTAGCATTTTTGTTGTCAGAATATGCTTGATTTTCGTTTTCCCTGCCATTTTCTGCCGTTGCTTTCCTTTCATGGCAGAAGATTGAGATGGTCCTTACCAGCATCAACTTCACCACCAAGAACAATCTTGAAACCCCCTATCCCCGTCCGGACGACGGAGCAGTACTGCGCTTTGTTGTTGACGATTTCGTTCTCGCGACCCTCAATCTTCTCACGAGATGTAGCATCCCATGGTTCATCTATGAGTGATAGAGTTTCAAATTTATAGCCTGGAGAGCAATCGTAAAAGTTAACTGGAGCTCAAGGGGCAAGGGCAACGTGGGATTGCGCACCCCAAAACGCCATCATATCCTGAGAGGGAGCCCCGGGAGGCATCCTTTGATTTCGCTGAGATTCTTTCTGAGAGAGTTTATATGCATTGTTTTCTTCGATGAAGCTGGAAGTTGGACGGAAAGCATGTTACAAGGGGGTTGTAAACAATTATCAAGAGATGGTATGCCTGGGTTTTTAACCACTTACATTGATTCCTATCATAATAATGGTTAGTACACGGATGCACCCTGTTTTCTCAAAAAAAAAAAAAAAAAAAAAAAGGGGGGGGGGAGGGGGTGAAAACAGCAACATTTTGAATGATTATATTTACAAGGATGAAAGGCAAAACTCACTTGATAACATGTGGCATTCATCTCGAACCTAATGAAAAACGGCCACCCTCAGCAACAAAGCCAATCCTCATTCCTCTTTTCCTCCCCTGAAAAGTAGACACATGGCGCATGGAGAATCATATACCCATTCATGTTATCAAACGGCGCTGTCATTATCTTCCGAGCCCGTCAGTTCATCTTCTCCCAACTCTAGGTAGAAATACAAACACCCATAGCATCCCATCTGCAAGGACTTCCCAGAACAATACATGCACAGGGCAAGATAAAACTATGAAAGAAATGGCAGAGAACACACCTTTGTCATCATCCCCCTCCACGTAACTATATCAGCCTCGCATTTGTTCCCCGTCCTCCTTTCCAGATCAACAATCGTATCTAGAAGCGCATCCAGGTGCTCATCGCCTGAGTCATCGAGCTTCTCGAAGGTGTCGAAGCCCTTGTTCAAATCTGCGGGTAGACGGGGAGGGTAATAGTAGCGTAGCGAGGATTCATCAAGGCGGAAGTTGTGCTGGTCGTCGTAGGAGAAGCATGCGATTTCCTGGGGGATTTCTCGTTAGAAGAGGAATATGTATATAGCAAAGAATTGACTGATTGGTTAAGGGGAAAGAGAGTGACCTGGAATAACTTACCTTTGGCCTGCGAATGGCCGCGTTGGAGCCGACGAAGCGGGCGACGGGCTGGATATCGAATACATGCGGGTTCATTGTCGTTGGTTATTTAGATATTTGAATTGAAATTAATCATGCGGTCGGTAGATTTATACCAAAAGCACATATACTGCACTAGATTCTATGCGCCTGGATTGTGGGAATCCCACGTATTTATTAATTAAGTGTTTGTATATGTTGAAGGTAAAAGATGTTGGTTATCCTTTTCGCTTCTGCGGTGTTGGAAGTTCCGTTCGTTCTTCGACGACAGCTCACTCTTCAAACCTCAGTCCTCATAAATATTATATTTACACCCAACCATCTCTTGCATTCTAATCTATACCAAACGACTTGAACCCATTCACACTCCTCCGACAATGATTTCTCTTCTATAACCCAGTCCCTAGTTCCTCTCATAGCTACGTACCAACAGTTGTCAACTTCCCCCACCAACTCACCCGTCCTCCCCAACCGCCAGCAACCTCATATAACCACCAACCCACTTCAATCTAAATAATTTAAATAAACCACCATGACCTCTCGAATCGAAAAAACCATAATCCGCCAGCAAGAGAAGTAAACTCACACCCTTCTCTCCCTCTGACAATCCTCAAAAACTGGGAAAACCCAACTGACATTCCCCCCAACCCCCGTCCCGCAGAATTGCCGCGGGCGCATATTATGAATCCCACCAACAACTCCGCGTCATCGCCGCCCGCTACCTCAAACAGCTTAACTACGATGCCGCCGCCGATATCCTAGCAGGCGGCGCAAAAGCACTGCTACATGCGCCCGGTGCCTCTGCGTCCGGTGGCGATCTGGCTATTATGTTGATTGTTGATGTGTATAATAAGGCGGAGTGGGAGGCGGTTCCTGAGGGGCAGGGGGATCTGGTGGGAAGGGGTAGAAAGAGTATGTCTTCTACATGTGTATAATCTAAGATTGATATTCATGTGTATACGGATTGGGATGGGAGTTCTGGGCTAACTGGCTCTCTATGTGGTAGAGCGATTGATTGAGCTGCTACACGAGTTTCCGCCAGAGGAGCCTACGAGGAGGAGATATATTAATGAGATGATTGCGTGGAGTGCGCGGTTTGGAGAGCTGGAGAGGGGTGATCGGGAGATACATCATGAGGTTGGAGCGTTATTTGCACAGGGTACGCTTTTTTATGTTTTTTTTATTTATTATTTTTTTTTTGCCGCCAAATTTCCACCCCTTGCTATCTTTCATGCATTCCTTGCTTGTACGCTCCAGAAATACACCGCTTCTAACCTTCCTCTTAACTACAATCAGAAAACGAACCCTACGACGCAGAACGCCATTTAGCCGTTGGCACCACGGACTCCGCAGAAATCCTTGCCCGTCTCGAGTACGAGTGGTACACATACGATGAACCCCACACCGCCGGCATCTACGCCTTGCGCGCCGTTATCCCCTACCTCCTCACTGGTAACCTGCGCAACGCCAACAAAGCCTTCATAATTTTCACCAGCCGCCTCTCCTCACCCGCAGACCCCGGCAAAGCCCAAGCCCTAAATGCCCAGCAAGTCAGCAGCCAGAGCTCAGATGTGAATGTCTACCCTTCCCTGCCGCTTTTGAATTTCACAAGCCTGTTGCTGCTGGCTATCCAGAGCGGGTCGGCGGATTTGTTTAGGCAGTTGACCCGGCAGTATGCACACCATACTCGGGAGGTGGACGGGTGGGAGAGGGCGTCGGCGTATATTGGCGAGCTGTATTTTGGAATTAAGATCCCGAAACAGTCTAATGCACTTATGGATATGATGGGGATGATGTTTGGGAGTGGTGCTGGTCAGGAGAGTAGTAGGAAATCGGGGAAACAGCAGAAGAGCCCGGCGAAAGTGGAGGCGGCACCGCTGCCGCCGATGGACCTTGATTAAGGGACTTGGAGGGAAAGAGAGACTTGTACAGTTGGAGGTTTATGATATCAAGTTACCATAGGAGTGGAGGGGGGGGTTTTGACCCAGTGGCAGCTCTTATTAGCATGCATGTACGTATGAATGACCTAGACATGAAATTCATCCTCGACCTCGTACATCCAGTTGTCCTCATCCAGCGTGGCTATTTTTTCCCGTAGGCTCTGTTGGATAAGGAGGAAGATTTCTGTTTTTATGTCCCGTTAGCAGTAGTTCATCCAGCAAGCATAAGCCTTCTCTCTAGCTCGTATATCTGGAGAGGTATAATAACAAACCCACCAGGCGGTTCACTATGTAGCTGCCTACTGCGATTCCGACACATCATCTCCACAATACTAGCCTCAATCTCTGTTTCCAACAAGCCTCGTAGTCAGCCAAAAATATATGACCCTAAACAAAAAAAAAAAAAAAATAATAACCAAGCCCCATTATCGACAAAGGGCAAGGGGGAAAATAAACATACTCTCCTTATCCCTCCACCCGATATCCCCCGTCCCTCCAACCCCACCCGCACCACCAGAAATCCCAACACCTTCTCCAATATCAACGTTCATCCCGGCAACCCCATCCTCGAAGTCCTCATCCCACATCCCCACAGGCAACGCAGGCACGTCAACCTTATACCCGCCATTCTTGTCACGGGCCACAATCTCGCTGCCATCCAGAGACGAGGACGAGGCGGAGCGGGGCATTTGGGGATGGCTATGGCCGTATCCAAGCCCATGCCCCTGCGGGACGGTGAGGGGGATTGTCGGTGCAGCTCTCGAGGCGTTTGCGACGCGTGTAGTTGCAGAAGTGGTAACATGGACATTTCCACTGGCGTTTGCATTTGCATTGGCGTTGGCGCTGGCGTTGGTATTTCCGGGATGCACCGTTGACGCGGAGCTATGTGTTCCGGCGAAGGTCGTGGAGGCCGGGCGGCGGCTGAGGTGCTGGTGCTGGAAGAGGTTGCGGCGGACAGAGGGCATTGTCCGTACGGTATCGGTATCGGGATTGCTGGAGCTGGCTTGGTGAGTGGGGATTCCAGCTGTGTAAGCTGTAGAGGCGGAGGTGGAGGCGGAGACGGCGCGGCGTGAGGTTGCTGCAGCGGCTGTTGGGTGTGGAGGCGGGGCGGTGGCGGTGAGAGTAGCGATGGCTGCGGAGGGGGTGGTGCGAGATTGTTTTGGGTGGCGGGTATGATGATGATGGTGGTGATGGTGATGGTGATGATGAGATGAGGCCATTAAAAGGTGGTGATTTCATAATTAATGCTTTGTTTCAATTCATTCCCTCGGAATGAAGCTCAGGATTGGGTAGACGTCATATATAGCTAGCGGCTAGTTGTTTGATGCGCTTGGATATTTGCAGGTGGAATGCGGGGAGGTGGTTAAATGAGGGAATAGGCCTTTATTGTGCAATTGGGATAAATATAAATTGCTATGAGCAGGGAAAAAGAGCGAGTGTGGCAGATGAAGTGAGGATATGAATATTATTAGAGTGGTTAGCAGTTGAGGTTGAATGTCGAGGTTGAAGTTGAGGTTGAGGTTGAGGTTGAGGTTGAGGTTGAGGTTGAGGCGGCTGGTTTCGAAGGCTCCAAAAGTTTTCGACAACATTCTCTCAGAATATGGTGGCGTTGCACTAACAGCAACCACCCGCTGCATTACTAGATTCACCCGGAATACATTTGAGAAATCATTGCATAAATACTCGTCTGCAATGGCAATGTTGGGTTTCTCTCGAACACCCATCATGATCCTTATAACCTATCACTGTGAAGTCCAGTTTGGCATGGCAGGCCTCTCTAACAGCCTTCCAATTGCCGGAAGTCCCCTGAAACAAATAAACAAATAAAAAAACAATACAATACACACTTTTAACACTCGATATATCTCTGAATTGACTGATAAACTGCAGCCATCGAGCTGTGCAGGACGCGACAGATGCCGCTGGTAGGCGAACCGAAGCCTTTCGACGGTTAGTAATTCTGCATCTTCGCTCCTCTCCCGCGAGCCTAGAAGCATGACTGTCTCGCGGGATATCATATACCGTGTGTATTTATTTGAATATATTTCTCTTTCTACCAATCCTAGCTATCCCAGGCCTCTCCCAGAACGTCCAACTCACTCTCTGATTAGACTACGTAATCGTGAATAGCACGACCTAACTTTGCCCGGCAACAATTAAAGGCGGAAGTAAGATTGGGCTGAACAAAGAGTCATACGACACATCCACCCATTTCCAGTCTCCCTACCATTAAAGGCGCATGTACAACAGTATGGCGTGAGCATGTTTCGAGGCACGGAATTAACCTTAGCAGACGAAGATCCAGAAGAAGTGAATTATCTTGTTCCCATGGGAATTGTCCTGGCCCTGAACCGTGGATTGTGTTTTTCTTAAAATCTCGCCCTTGATGGAAGGTGTATGTATGATCTCATAAGGGGGAATGGTCATTAGTATCTCCTAAGAGCAACCGAAGGCCCATCTAAAAAAAAGTGAATAGGAGCTTTGAAAATAACCGATTTGACACTGTCTGGTTCACTGGAGAGGCATATTTAGCTCTATACTTCCCTCACAGCAACCAGATCCGGAAATTAGCCTGATGAAGAAAGAATTGCCCTTGAAAGGTTGGTTCTATTGCAATTGATCTGCTGAAACACTGTGTATCTCTTAAGGATGTACGCACGCGTCGTGGGGTTCTAGAAGAAGAGCCGCGGATCTTTGCACTGGCAGTGGACTTCTGCTCTCTCTCTCTGTTGTCAAGAGAGTAAATCTCCATCGGTCTCTATTCGTAAAACTGCCATCGTGAACTAGGACTTATCCACGCGGGATGGATAGAACAAACATCTGCGCAGCTCAAACCACCCTTGTCAAGAAGAACTGACCCTTCCCACAGCTACTGCCTGCATACACATCTCTGCGGGTTCGCCATATCATCACGCAACCGGAGGCCCATAACCAGTTAGTTATTTTAGTAGCTCCGGGAGCTGGAAGAACCACCAGCTCTGTATTCCATTTCACAACTGGAATGGATGAATTCTGCTGCTTCCACACTATTAATAGCTTTAACTGCCCAGAGTTAGCTATTTTTATAGCTAACTTTAAACTGTCTGTTCAAACCCCGTCGTCTTTTTAGATAAGCGCGTGTTCACAGCTTCCCAAACCCCAGCTCACTGATTGATTGATTGCTCGCTCGTTAGACGCAGAAAGAGAGCCAAGTCGGCTGTGCAGTCGGCAGCCAGTCAAAACAGCCTTATTATACATCTCCTGTGACTGCTGTGATTGAACGAATCTTGTTCTTGCCAATGAGAACAGCTGCCCAGCTTACCTGGTAATTCCATCCTATCATCTTTGAGCAAAAACAGCCAGGTGCAAGATATGATGCCGATTTCCGTGCTTTACCAGAGGGCAGTGAGGTAATAGTTCCCAGAGACAAAAACTCATCCATGGGGGGGGGGGGGGGGGGGTGAGCATCCAGGTTTTTCACATGAAAGGGTGGCCTGACTGATCTTTAGCTTTTCCTCAGTGTTTTCGTCCGTCTTCGCGTCGTCGTCGTCGTCGTTGCTGCTGCTGCTGCTGCTGCTGTCGTTGGAGAGATGCGGACAGTGTTTTACCTATGATTAGCGTTCTTTCGAGCGTGAGGTCGCGCGAGCCGATGAGCGTTATCCATGATGGACCCGATTTTCGGGGTTAGGTGGTTTGGCTAAACTACTGTTGTCGAATGTTGTTGTTTTATATTGTAAGTTTGGGGCCCACTTTTTCAAAACCACGTTTCAACACTTGTCATCCAAAATCTTCCTAACTCGCCTATGAGCTAATTTGTGTGCATGATGCGTAAACGAGCTACCTGCTCCTATGTTGCTAATATATCTCACTACCTCAACAACTGGATTTAGGGGGGGGGGGGTGTGACATTAGGGTTGGTTGGTTAAGGGTTGGTTGGTTAAGGGTTGGTTGGTTAAGGGTTGGTTGGTTAAGGGTTGGTTGGTTAAGGGTTGGTTGGTTAAGGGTTGGTTGGTTAAGGGTTGGTTGGTTAAGGGCTGGGTGCCTGGGAAGTAGGGTACAATCGCTGCCGTCAAGCACAGAGGACGGACTGACTCGTTTTGGTAACTGTGTTGTTTGAATGAGGCGGGGTTTGGTGGAAGAGACGGACAAGGATTCGAATGGCTCAGCCAATACAGTCCCTATATATTTAATGTGTTCTCTCCATTGGCTCACTCATTGTTTCTCCACTCTGAACTTGATGAGTCACTATAGTTTGATGATGACGTAAACTGGAACTGTTAACTAGGTAGTTAGTTGCTAGCTTTACGCTCCCAGGCAAAAAATATTATATCTCAGACTTTACCTTTCTGTCGAATAGAACAGCGATTTACTTTTTGACGAAAGCTTGTGTACATATATATATATATATATATATATATATATATACAATTTAGATAGTTTTGATTTTGTATATTATATTGAATTTTGAAATCCTATTTATTAATACCCAAACTTTGCTATCTTTATAGAAAGCAATAAAAGGCTACAGCGAGCTCAAACTACTTTCCGTATGTAAAAGCTTCTAAGAAGAAGTTTTGTCAGTAGCCTTTTCATGCGTATCAGGGCTGACTCATAAACTATCATCTGAACAGTTGATTTTTTTTTCATGAAGTCATGTCTAGAATACCTCTGCTCAAGGACGGGTGCCTGTGTGCGATGCCGATGCGAGAGAAGCAGAGCCAGCCTGGAAGATCTCGGAGCAGGCTGACAGTCGCTCGGTCGCCTCAGTTAGTTATTCGTTATGTAACTAGTCTAGTAAGAGTCAGCGGCCAAGGAATGGCAGAGGGTTGACTAAACCACCCAACAAGCTCGACGGTATAAAGAAAATAACACCAATGGAAACCTCGCTAAGATGCGCCACTTCTACAGGCTGCTTTTTCCGGCCGAGATTTTTAAAATTACGCCCGACTTCAGCCACTGGAAGAAATTTTCCAGCTGGGATTTGCATGCAATGGCAAACCATGTTCAAACTCACCCTCAAAGTCTGGGGTAGGGAGGGGGGCGTCTAAACCCTGGGACGGGGCTTTCGGGAGAAGGGATCCCCTGGAACTTCGCCGGATTAGCGGGTGGCTTTACTCGAACTTAGGGCTCAGCCCAGTTAAGCTTTGGTTAAATCCCACCCAAAGATTCGGGAGGGCCTCCCGTACGGTATCGGGTCGGTAATCTAATTTCACCGAGAGGCAAACCCGAGCGCAGAAAGCGCCCGCTCTGGCGCGTATCCAAGTGTAAATAGCCGGTATTTCCAATACTGCGGTAGCTCAAAGGGGGTTAGTCACAGTAATCCGCCAATCCAGGGCGGGCCAGCAATTTATCACCGGCTGCTCCCTTCATAATGTGGGATTAGGCCAGCCCATGCCAGACGGGGCAGACCAACATGGGAATTGTTTTAAAAGAGCCAGCCGGTGGAAGAGAATGAATGGATGGGTGCTGTGAACCTGCGAACCATCAGCCGAGAATTCAGTCAAGCAACCCTGCTGCGTGTCAGTTCTCCATCCTCGCTCACTCACTCACACACACACACACACACACTCTCTCTCTCTCTCTCTCACACTCACACTCCCTCTTTCACTCTCTATCTCTGTGTGTCTCTCTCTTCTCTCTCAAGTCTCTCTCTGCCTGCTTGGGAGCTTAACTTCCATAGTTGGCTTACTCGATTCTTATCTTCCCATCCTTCATTGATGCATGTATGCAATCGCCACGCCAGATTGGCCATCTTCTCCTGAACAGGGAAAAAGAAGAAGGAATCAACAACGTAGATTATCTCTTCTCGTTGCATCGTCCACCCCCATTTCCTCAAGACGCAATGTCTCAAGTGGGCGAGCTGGTGACTCCGCGCTCACCTCCGCCCGAGAAACCTTTCACAGAGAAAGCTCATGTCTGCTCATACTCAGGCTGCAACAAGAGATTTACGCGCGCAGAGCATCTTCGACGGCACGCATTGAACCACAAGAATGAAGACAACACCTGCGAGAGATGTGGTGTCCATTTCAATAGACCGGATTTACTGGGTATGCCTTTGCAGCCTACCTATGCTCAACTCACTCCCATAGCACTTAAGCACTTAGAAAGCGGGTTGCTTGTGCTAACCATTTCCAAATCCCCACAGGAAGGCATCTGGCGCGCCATGCAAAGAGGGACGAGGAGGCTGGCGGCCCTGGCCTGGGTGTGCTCGAAACCCGCAAGAGAACCCGCCGCGGGCCCGATGGCACTATTATCACAAGGCCGACCAAAAAGCAAGCCCGGGCAGCCATGGCAGCCAGATCCATGGCTTCGACAGTCTCCTCCATTCCAGCCTCTGACGGTAAGAATTCGTCTGCTGCGCAGACTTTGTCATCGTCATCTTCAATTCGAAGCTTCAATCGCAATAGCGTTAGCTCCCATGATACTCCGGATGGCGTGTCAGCTCTCACCACGCCGCCTTCCATGAGCAGTGACATGAATTATCACGGCCTGGATCACGGCGCTGTTTCCTGCGCACCTGTCTCCCCGCCTACCTCTGCACATCATTCGTGCTCGAGTGTCAATTTGGAGAGTGGTCCGCGCGACACTACCTGTCTTCCAGTTGACCATTCAGATCCGCTTATAGCGCCCATGATGCCGGGTGGGCCGTATGAGCCGTATGTCGAGCCAATTCCCGGCCAGTTTGATGCCGCAGATGGTTCCTGGCAGCCTCAAGATCCAGGACCCAACCCGGACTATGAGGATTTGTTTGATTTAGATACTGGTATGTATCTACATTTCATACGAGGGTGGTGGCGAGATCTCATTTACCCCACCGTTCCTGTCAGATGTTTTTTCAAAACGCAGAAAATCGGATGAGCTGAAAATTGCTACACTGGCGAAGTTCTAACATCTTTTTTTTCTTTTTCTTTTTTTTTTCTTGAATATGTAGCAACCTCCTTCAACATGCCCTTCGCCGCTACACATAACTACAACTGGCTTTTCGATGTGCCGTCCCTGGATGACGCCTTCAACCATAATGACCTCTTTCTGGCCATGGACATGGTGAATTTTGCAGAACCAGTCCCTGACATGTGGTCGCAGCCACATCAGCGCCATGAGGAATTTATAAACCAACCTCTCTATTCATCAGCAAATGCAGGAAACGTGGATTACCAAGCAAATCCGCAGTACAACGAGGCGATGGCCGATAATTCGGACAACAACTTTATCTCCGGCTCCCGTGGTGCGCCTTCTGGCGGTGTTCCCAGCGCAGAAACTCCTGTAAATCATGGTCAACCGACCCCTGAGCCCGCCCGGAGTTCCACGACTCAACCCAGTGTTTCCGATCAGATTCCCACCTCTAAATTCAGCGACGTGGACTGGATGGGTCAAAGCACCCCTGTGGAAATTGTTTCTCAGCGGTTGCCACAAATAAGCGAAGCTGCGAGAGCTGGATTGCTACATATGATCTCCCAGTTACAACCGATGACTGTAGAAGGAAACAGAATCGAGCTCTCATCACCCCTTCTCTCCATCAATGCCCTCCAAACGTATAGTGATCTCTTCTTCACGAAATTCAATACGTTTTATCCACTCATCCATCAGCCAACCTGTGATCCGGACCGAATTGACAAATTGCTTCTTGCTGCCATAATTTCAATGGGAGCTACCTACAGCAGCATAGAGGCGCATCAGCTGGCTGTCGGAATGCATGACTCCTTGCGGAATCAACTGTTCTCTCATCCATCCTTTTCATCCCAGCCCAATCTATGGATCCTTCAAGCCATGATTTTAATCGATTGCTTTGGGAAACAACGAGCTGGCCAGAAACAGCGTGACATGTCTCAATTGTTCCATTGTGTTCTCATCAAGCTCATCCGCCGAAGCACATGCCCTATCACCCGGACTCAACCTCCTGTTCAGCGGCCGGACGACCTCGACTCCGCCTGGAGGCATGCAATGGACCTTGAGCAGAGAAAACGGCTTGCCATGCTTTGCTTCATGTGGGATACTCAGCATGCGGTACTCTTCTCTCAATCCCTTTGCATGTCAGCTTTCGAAATCCGGTCCTCCTTGCCATGCGATAGCGCGACATGGGAGGCCAGGACAGCAGAAGAGTGGTTCGAGCACGCCCGTACGGAGACAACGCACAGTCCATTCCTCTCCGTGCTGAAAGCTTATATTACCCCCAACACCACTCGCCGCCCACGACACCTCAACGCATTGTCCAGAATCGTCCTCCTCCACGGCCTAATGTCCATTGCCTCGGATCTCAGACGTCGTGACCAAACAACCCTCCGCTCCGAAACCCCTAACCTAGTCGTAGCTTGGAAAGCCCGTGTCAGCCGCTCCTATGACCTGTGGAAATCCGACTTCGACGCAGACTGCATGACCATGAAACTCAGCCAGGCCTCCGACCCGCGGAAATTCGTGGGCCTGAAAACAGCCACGCACGTCTTGTATCACGCCGCCCACATTACGCTCAATGTCGAAGTGCTCGATTTGCAGATATATGCTGGCGCCCCGCATATTCTGGGCCGGGTGGTGACGGCGGGGGACTTCGAGAGATCGCAGCGGGTTGTCACGCGGTGGTTGAATGAGGATCCGCGCTCAGCAGCGAAGGCGACTAGGCATGCCTCGTATATTTTGCAGGATGCAATTATGAACCTGAACGATTGGGACGAGACTGACGTTTTCCATTACCCATGGTGCCTGTATCTAGCGACGTTGACGTGTTGGGCATTCCATCTGCCGACGTCCTCGTCCTCGTCCTCGTCCTCATCCTCATTGTCATCGCCCCCTTCATCGTCGGTGGACAGTGTGCCAAATACTGGACAGCAGCAGCAGCAGCAGCAGGAGCACCAGCACCACCAGCCGCCGCCCAAGTCTCCAAACATGTCTGGTTCCACCTCCACTTCCCTGACTGCCCGCAACAAAACGACCACCCTAGTCGTAGCGATGACGACGTGCAACACGCTCGAGGAGCTGTCCGCGCTCGCGGGAAAGTTCGATACGACCGGTTTGACATCCATCATGAGTCAGCAGCTGTCTAGTGTGCGTTGGGCGGTGGTGCATGATGCTATGAAGGTGCTGGTGAACCTATCGAGCAAGGGACCGGGGAAAGGGTGATGGGCGCTGCACCTGGTCATTTGATTCTGTCGTTCTGGATTTGATACCCTCTGTCGTTTTGATTTTGGTTCTGCCGGCAGGGGTAAGCTATAGGGTATTGTGATTAATTTTTAAATGGGGGGTTAGTCAAAAGGGGGGAGCGAGTGGGTTGGGAGGTTATCATCCTTGTTCTTTGCCGCCTTCATTTATTTATTTATTTACTTATTTATTTTTTGCTGTAGTTGTAGTTGTTCCTGGTTCAACTATTAATAGGTAATAAGGCCGGTCACTTGTACATACATACCTGTACTATGAATCGGCGTTTCTGGGACTTGGGATGGTTTTATGAATGGATGGCTGCATGCAACGTTTTACTCAACGTGTCGGTTTCTCACTAGAATGACAAGGGGGATGTTATTGCCTCACGACATGGGAAAAATGAAAATAAACCTCTAATGAAATAGGTGTTTTTGACTGATTTCTATCATTATTACGACTTCACTAAAGGATTAGATTGTATATATACATTAAAAAAAAAAAAAAAAAATCACTATCCATCCTGCATCAACCACCACAGCAAACTCAACCAACCGGCCTCTCTCCGCATCTACCTAACCCCCTGGCCTTATAAGGACGGATAATCCGTGTACCCCTTCTCTGGCGGACTGGCCCCGTAAAATGTGCTCCGGTCATACTTGTTCAGTTCCAGGCCATCTCTCAATCTCTTAACGAAGTCAGGATTAGCCAGAAACAAGCGTCCAAACACCACCGCATCGGCCCCGTCGCCCTTCAACTTGGCAATGCAGTTCTCTCTCTTAAAGTTCCCCGCCGCCAACAGGGCCACCCCGCCCTTCTTAAGCGGCCGGCGGAAGTGATCGAGCGAGTAGTCCTTCTTCTTACCGGCGCCGCCCTCCGCCGTGGCAGCTAGCGCTGCCAACTTCGCCTCCTCGTCCAGCACCTCGTCGAACCGCGGCTCGATCATGTGAACATACGCAGGCCTGCTCGCCGCTGGGAGCGCCGCGATCTGCTCGCACAGATACACCCAGTGCTGGTTGGGGTTCGAGTCGCGCGTGTCCTGGAAGTAATTGTAGGGGGACAGCCGGATGCCCACGCGGTCCGCGCCAATGGCCGCGGTGACGGCCCGGATGACCTCGAGCGGGAAGCGGGCGCGGTTGGCGATGCTGCCGCCGTAGGCATCGGTGCGGACATTGACGTTGTCGTGTAGAAATTGGTCCAGGAGATAGCCGTTTGCACCTGCAGAGTTCGATGTTTGAGTTGAGCGGAATGCTCGGATAAACAAGCATACGTAGGGTGAGTGAAACCGGGATAATGCCAGCCAAACTAACCATGGATCTCCACTCCGTCGAATCCAGCCTCCAACGCCCGCTTCGCCGCCGCCGCGTACTCCTCTACCAGCTCCTTGATCTCCTCAACGGTGAGAGCCTTGGGGGGGAAGTCGGCATATCTAGAGCCATCCAGTGCGTTTCCGGAAATGGGAATTGTGGAAGCACTGACGGCGGGCTTGCCATCGAGAAGTGAGGGAACAGTGGCACGGCCAACGTGCCAGAGTTGGCAGTAGATGAAGCCCCCCTTGGCGTGTACGGCGTCTGTGACACGCTTCCAGCCAGCGATTTGGGACGAGGTGAAAATGCCAGGGACGCCCGGGTAGCCGGCGGCCTGTACGTATGTAGTTTTCTCATGTCAGTAATTGGGCATGAGAACTTGTCTCCCAATTCATCATCTTTGCGATTCTATTGATATTTTTTCAACTGTTTTTTTTTTTTTTTTTTTTTTTTTTTTTTCTTTTTCAGTATTTTTCCGCAACTCTATTTCTCCCTTCATAGGATCCCTCCTCATTTCTTTCTTGCTTTGGTTTTTCTTCTTGCTGGAAACTCACATGTCGACTAATTGGGGTCGCTTCTGTCAGCAGGAAGCCGCCTTTGGTGGCTCGCTGCGAGTAGTATGTGACATTCAGATCGTTGGGAACATACACGCCCTCCGACTCTTTTGTTGAGCGCATGCGCGTGAGGGGGGCCAGGACTATTCTATGTTCAAGCTGGAGCGCCCCTAGCTGGAGCGGCTTGAACAGCGCTGTGTCTTTCAGAGGGGCGAAGGAGGCCATTGTTGGAGAAAAAGTAGAGTATGTAGAAAATGTATTATTGGATGTAGTGAAAAATGAGAGGACAATACCTTGGTCTTCTTCTTCTTCTTCTTCTTCTTCTTCTTCTTCTTCTTCTTCCTTGACAAAATAAAAGATTCAACGAGAGCAAGTGGAGATGAAGAGGAAACGGGAGTAGAAAAATCAAATCGACTAACTCTTTCTTTGCCTTTGTAGCCTAAGTATATCTACCACCTCTTCCTCTTGTCCGCCGCTGCAAACTCCCTTCCTCTCAAAGATTGTCCCAATTCCGTCCCCGCCCACGCCATCCTCCGCAGCGCAAGCAAGCATATTTTTAAATACACCGAGCACGCTACAACGACCAAGGTGGGAGAGACTCCTATGGCCCCCTCCCTACTCTCTCCTCTCCATACCGTGTCAATTCCATCCCGCCTACCAGTCTGTTCTGCCGCTTCACAGCCATGATACACCACCCCACTATGCGGGCAAAACATCCTCTGGCACGCACAAATGAAGAATGGCGGGCGATTGCCACAGTTATCTCTCGAAGCAGTCAGTTCAGTGGATAGAGGAAGTAAGATTCGCCCCAGAGTGCTCCCCACAACAAGTGGCGGAACGGCGTCTCACCTGATTGGCAAATCCAGCGGGGCACCATGGAAGCACGCCATCATTTCAGCGCAACTCCTTTTCAGAGTGGGATAGAGTGCTCTCCAACTGCTGCCAACCTGTGGTTCTCGGGAGATCGGGAGAGTGGAGTGTTGGGGCTTTGATCTGCCGTCGATTGTTGGTTTGGAAGATGCATAAGCCCAGTCAGGATCTTTAGCCCTAGCCCCTTGCCCTAATTCGACCATTTAGCCCAAACCCCTAAAAGCGGCGACGGCGGCAAGGGTCACCCCCACCCAAACCACCCTGGAACTGCCGGCCTTAGTCAGCATGGCGATAACGCCGGCCCGGCAGCCTCAAGAGTGGGGGTTGTGGGTTGTTTTGACTCTTCCAAGCGCTGAGTTTAAACCATGTGAGGCGAGTTAAACTACCCGTTGTTTAATCAGCCAGTGGCCAATAACCGGGTTGGCTGGTTGGCTGGCTGGCTGGCTGGCTGGCTGGCTGCTGTTGGGCGTTGGCTGCTGCCTTTTGCCTGTTGCCTGTTACGAACCTAAGGGAGGGATGGAATGGTATGGGGAGCACATGTCCCTCGCAACAACATTGGGGGAAGGAAAGAAAAACGCTCTAACCAATCGGGAACCTATTGGATTTGTTTGTTTTTTGAGGGCGGGGGAGGGTTGAACAGAGCCTGTTTGATAGTTACTGTGTTTAATGGGGCGGCGCCCCTTCCTCCCCTATAACTTAGGTAAAGATCAGTTAATACTCATCGCCAGCTTAGTTAATAACTTAGGCGTTAAATACTACTCGTTGTTAGGTAATGGTTCGACCATCATCCGCTCACAACGGGTTGCTCAGAAAGCCCCCCTCCCCCTCCCCCTCCCCCTCCCCCGTTTCTCATTTATACCTGGTGGCAATCCGGACTGGACTTCTTTAAAAAGGGTTGTTCTGTCTGTCCTGTCCTTTGCTGTTGCTGCATTATTGTATTGGAGCTGCCGCCGGTGTGTTGTTGGTAGCTATTCCTCCTCAGCACCATGGGGCTCCCCGTGCCGAACGTGAACGTGCCCTCTATTCCTGCCGACGAGGCGCTGCAGGCTCTCGTAAAATCCACTTATACCAGCTCGAGCTTGCATTTTTACCTGAATGGCACCAGGGTCGAGTTGCAGAACCCCAACCCCCACTGGACTCTGCTGGACTTTATCAGGTCGCAGCGTGGACTGAAGGGAACCAAGCTGGGGTGCGGCGAGGGCGGCTGTGGGGCTTGTACGGTGGTGCTTCAGGTAAGAGACGCTAAGAATGCGAAGAGAATCAAGCATCTGTCGATAAACGCTTGCCTGTATCCTCTGGTGGGAGGTGAGTTCGTTCGTGTAAATCCTTTGAACCCCTGGATTACATGTGTGTCGTTCCCGGTCTCGCTGACGGAGTGTGTCTTCCGGCAGTTGTTGGGAAACATGTCATTACCGTCGAAGGGTTGGGGAGTGTTGAGAAACCTCATCCGTTGCAGGAACGCATGGGAAAACTTCATGGCTCCCAGTAAGTCTTGGTTGGGTCGTTGGAGCAACGGGGTTCCAGCCGCCCGTTTGCTAAAAAAAATCTTTCCCTTGTAGGTGTGGGTTCTGCACGCCCGGTATAGTAATGTCTCTGTATGCGATTATCCGAAATGCGTATGATCCGGAAACCGGCAAGTTTTCGCTATCTGAAAATGACATTGAAACGAAAGGGCACCTGGACGGGAACCTGTGTCGGTGTACGGGATACAAGCCGATTATCCAGGCCGCTAAGACGTTCATCATTGAGGACCTTAGGGGCCAGCTGGCGGAAGGCGAGAGGCCTTCTCTGGTCGACAAGGAAAAGAGGGACTGCGACAGCCAGGATGCGACGTATCTGCAGGCCCAATGTGCTGGAGCCTCAACGCCGTCGAGTCGCTCGTGCGGAAGACCCGGAGGCTGTTGTCGTGATAACCCGCAGATGAAATCCTGCTCCTCCGACTCTGAGGGGTCCTATGCCACCTCGGAAGACGACAACAAAAGCTCGAAGAGGAGTAGTCTCTCTGAAGACCCCCCGTCGCTGGCAGCAAAGCCTATCCCTCCTCAGATTAGATTCACTGAGTATTGTCCGTCTGCAGAGTTGATATATCCTCCAGCACTTTCGAAGTTTGTCGACTCCCCAATATGCTATGGTGATGAGAACAAAATATGGCTCCGGCCAACAACTCTGCAACAGCTGTTTGACATCATGACGGCGTATCCGTCTGCAACTATCGTTAGTGGTGCAAGCGAGATCCAAGTTGAGATTCGTTTCAAGGGCTCACAATTCGCCGTTTCGGTGTTTGTTTCCGACATCAAAGAGCTAGCCACACTGTCGGTTCCCACCGACCTGTCTAAAATGAACGAACTTGTCGTCGGTGGGAATACGCCTTTGACTGAAGTGGAAGATGCTTGCCACGACCTTTGCTCGAAGCTGGGACAGAGGGGCTCCGTCTTCAGGGCCATGGCGAAGGTTCTAAGATATTTTGCCGGCCGCCAAATCCGAAATGCTGCTTCTCTCGCCGGAAATATTGCAACGGCGTCCCCTATATCAGATATGAACCCGGTCCTTCTTGCTGTTAATGCAACTGTCGTCGTCCGCTCTGCGAAGGAGGAGCTTTCCATTCCGATGGTGTCGATGTTCCGTGGGTACCGAAAGACAGCGTTACCTCCAGGTGGCATCGTCACTCATATTCGCATCCCCGTCCCCCCCGAGGGGGTGCGCGAGATCACCAAATCTTATAAACAAGCCAAACGAAAGGATGACGACATTGCTATCGTCACTGCCGGCTTCCGCGTTCGATTAGGCGACGATGATTCTGTTAAGGATGTCTCGCTGGCGTATGGCGGAATGGCTCCAATGACGGTTCTGGCAACACAAACTATCAAATATCTGATAGGAAAAAAATGGACCGCACCTGAAACCCTTGAAGGAGCGCTGCAAACCTTGATCGAGGATTTCCAACTTCCTTACAGTGTCCCAGGAGGTATGGCTGTCTATCGCAGGACGTTAGCTTTGTCTCTTTTCTTCCGTTTCTGGCATGAGGTGATTGCCGACTTCGAGCTTGGAGATGTGGATAGCGGACTTGTTGAGGAAATCCATCGTGGTGTCACCTCCGGAACAAGAGATAACTACAACCCACACGAACAACGCGTTGTTGGCAAGCAAATTCCACATCTGGGAGGCTTGAAACACGCTACTGGCGAGGCAGAATATGTCGATGACATGCCTCATTATGAAAATGAGCTCTATGGAGCACTGGTTCTGTCAGGAAGAGCCCATGCAAAGATCGTCTCAGTGGACTGGACTCCAGCCCTTGCTCCTGGCTTAGCCCTTGGATATGTGGACAGACACAGCGTTGACCCCGAAATGAATTTTTGGGGATCCATAGTCAAGGACGAGCCCTTCTTCGCGCTCGATGAGGTGCACTCACACGGCCAGCCAATCGGATTGGTCTACGCAGAGACTGCGCTGAAGGCACAAGCTGCCGCAAAAGCTGTCAAGGTCGTCTATGAGGATTTGCCCGCCATCCTGACCATTGACGAAGCCATCGCAGCCAATAGCTTTTTCAAGCACGGGAAGGAGCTTCGCAAGGGAGCTCCTCCGGAAAAATTGGCCGAGGTATTTGCTAAATGTGACAGAGTCTTTGAGGGAACTACTAGGTGTGGAGGCCAGGAGCATTTCTACCTGGAGACAAACGCTGCCTTGGTTATTCCTCATGCTGAGGATGGCACGATGGATGTTTGGTCCTCGACTCAAAATACGTAAGTTATAACTTTTTTTTTTTTTTTTTTTTTTTTTTTTTTGGAAGCATTGTTCTGTCTGTCAGTGTCTAATGGTTTCGCAGGATGGAGACGCAGGAATTTGTCAGTCGCGTTACGGGAGTGCCGAGCAATCGCATTAATGCAAGGGTGAAACGGATGGGAGGTGCCTTTGGAGGAAAAGAGTCTCGAAGCGTCCAACTAGCATGTATTCTTGCTGTAGCTGCGAAAAAAGAACGACGACCCATGCGTGGCATGCTGAACCGTGATGAGGATATGATGACGAGCGGTCAACGAAATCCAATCATGTGCCGCTGGAAGGTTGGAGTTATGAACGATGGAAAGCTTGTTGCCATCGATGCGGACTGTTACGCAAATGCCGGATACTCCCTCGACATGAGCGGAGCCGTCATGGATCGCTGCTGCACCCACCTTGACAACTGCTATAAGTTCCCCAATGCTCATATTCGCGGGTGGGTATGCAAGACCAACACAGTCACAAACACGGCCTTCAGAGGCTTTGGTGGTCCACAGGCTATGTTTATTGCTGAAAGTTATATGTATGCCATTGCGGAGGGCTTGGGCATGTCGGTCGATGAGCTTCGCTGGAAAAATTTGTATAAACAGGGACAGCGGACCCCGTTCCACCAAATTATCGACGAAGACTGGCATATTCCCATGCTTCTTGAGCAAGTGCGAAAGGAAGCCAGATACGACGAGCGCAAGGCTGAAATTGCCGAATTCAACGCCAGAAACAAGTGGAAGAAACGTGGTATCTGTCTGGTACCCACTAAATTTGGTCTTTCGTTCGCCACGGCAATCCATCTTAACCAGGCCAGCGCATCCGTGAAACTGTATACTGATGGCTCCGTCCTTCTCAGCCATGGCGGAACGGAAATGGGACAGGGTCTGTACACAAAGATGTGTCAAGTGGCAGCTCAGGAATTGAACGCACCTTTGGAGTCCATTTACACACTGGACACGGCAACATATCAGATTGCTAACGCTTCGCCCACGGCTGCATCGTCTGGCAGTGATCTCAATGGCATGGCAGTGAAGAATGCCTGCGACCAGCTCAACGAACGTCTCAAGCCCTACTGGGACAAGTTTGGCAGGGATGCTCCGCTATCAAAGATTGCGCATGCTGCGTATAGAGATCGGGTTAATCTTGTTGCGACTGGTTTCTGGAAAATGCCCAAGATTGGCCATCTATGGGGTGATTACAATCCGGCAACCGTCAAGCCGATGTATTACTACTTCACCCAGGTATGTTCCTTCTCACTTCATCTTTTTCCCCCTTTACATATAATTCCTGTCGTTTTTAGGGGAGTGAGTAACTTACTATATCTCAATTTTTATGTAGGGAGTGGCTTGTACCGAGGTTGAACTCGACCTTCTTACGGGAGACCACATCGTCCGACGCACCGATATTAAAATGGATGTCGGTCGTTCAATTAACCCAGCCATTGACTATGGGCAGGTGGAAGGAGCCTTTGTCCAAGGCCAAGGGCTGTTCAGCATTGAAGAGTCACTCTGGGACAGCAAAACCGGCTATCTAGCAACACGCGGCCCTGGCACGTACAAGATCCCCAGCTTCAGTGACATCCCGCAGGAATTCAATGTCAGCTTCCTACAGGGCGTATCATGGAAACACCTGCGGTCCATTCAAAGCAGCAAAGGCATCGGAGAGCCACCGCTGTTTTTAGGTGCCACTGTCCTGTTCGCGTTGAGGGATGCACTGCTCAGTGCTCGGAAGGATAATGGGGTTACCGAGCCGTTGATGCTGGACAGCCCAGCAACGGCGGAGAGGTTGAGATTGGCTGTTGGGGATCGGTTGGTGAAGATGGCTGACGTGGTGAAAAAAGAAGGAGAGAAGACTTTTTTCGTGGCTATTTCTTAAAAGATTTATTATAGTTATATATCTATGTATATATAGAGTTACGTGGGGTTGACTCCGGGTATCCAATTTTATGCTCGAATTTAGATTGGCTCATTGAGTTCGTAAATTTCTCGCCGAAACAACGCGCCGAGACACCGGAATGATATTTGGACACCTGCATCTATAAATATCACCGTCATTGCTAGGATAGTCAAAATGAAAACCGTCCATCCTTCAATTGTCGAGTATGCGTTGATTTATCAAATTGGTCCTCCAGAGGAACCCATGAAACACACTGAGCAAAGAAAATGAAAAAAGAACGAAAGAAAAAGAGGGGGGGGTTGGGGGGGGGGGAGG